GAGAACCGGAGCTGGCAGCTTCAGCTGCTGAAGAACAGGCAGCTGCGACCTCTGACCTCAGAGCTGTCACAGGTGAGCCGCTGACAGACCTTTGATTCGTTCAGGTGGATCTCGAAGGCTTCGGACAAACTTTCCGTGTGTTTGGAGTTTGTGCACATGCACGCTGCAGGAGGTGTTTGTGATTCACGGACAAACTTCACGTTGAAAACATTAGAGAATCATCCTGATTGTTTAATGTCCAGAATCCTTGAAGCTCGGATGATGATGATGAAGGTAATTGAGAACAGGCTGGGTGATTGTCTTCATCTTTGCTTTCATCCTACACTAAAACATTTCTCCTCATTTTTCTTCCCGACTTCCTTAATTGCTCATTTCCTTCTCCAGCATTACTGTTCATCCTTTTCCCGTGTTTATGCTTCATTTCCTGTTTATTCCTTTTTTCTTCATCCTTCCTTTCTGTCTTAGTTTTTGTCTTCTTCCACCACAGCTTCGTTTCCTCCATCCTTCTCGAGCCGTTTTCCTCGCCGCTCCCCGTCACGTCCTTGTAATGAGCGCCGTATTTAACCGCGGCATGTAAATCTGATCCATCACTCTTTTATTGGTTCTGTCTTAAATCCTAAATGAGCTCGAGACACAAAGACAGACAGAGAAGACGAATGGCTTTGCTGTAACTTCCCAAGGTCGGCGTTGTACTTTCTCCCCATCAGAGGAGCTGCCAGCTGTAACGAGGCTCCGAGTCGACACAGAGCGCTGGAAACCAATAATCATTTCCACTGGCTCCTGCCAGAAAATTCCCCGGTGTTTGTAATTTGTCTGTTTGCGTTTGCTTCTCGGTGTGTACTTATTATCTGCAGCCACCACACTCTGTGGTCCTGGTGGCCGCAGATGCAGCAGAAGCCGAGGGAAGCGTTGGGGTGCGGCGCTGCTCGGGTTTGAGGTTAGCGAGGTCCCGAGCTGGCAGATTTCTAACACCTACGCTGCCAGCTGCTGTCGTGGCTGCTCGGAGTGCGGAGGAGCGAGAAGCCGCTTCACTCTGTAAAAATAATATCTGAGAGAGGAAAAGTCGAGCTCGCTCCCTGGTGTGTCGGGCAGGTGAAGCAGAACGGCAAACAGTCTCACGCACTTTGGCCTTGGGGCTGGTTTCAGAGTTATTCTTACTCCTTCGTGTGTCCAGGAGAATCGTGCACCAAAGTTAAGTTACTGCTAACTAGGGATGGGTATCGTTTAGGTTTTATCTGATACCGGTGCCAAACCGGTACTTTTGAAACGGTGCCGGTGCTTAAACGGTGCTC